GGGCGGGGCGGAGGGCGGGGCGGAGGGCGGGGAGGAAAGGACCTCTTGGTGGAGGACGGTCACGACATGGGCGCGTAGGCGACGCCGTTGCTTCTTCAGGTGCCGGGAGAGCACGCCGAGCAAGAGGCTGGAGGCAGTGAGGGCGGAGGAGGAGTGAGGGGAGTGGGCGGCAGCACTCGCTTTCCGCTGAGTCTCCTCGCGCAGGAGAGGGTGGAGGAGGGAGGAAGCGAGGAAGTGGCGGTCGAGGAGGTGCAACAGGTTCGGGTCGGGGGCGTGGAGGGACGGAAGGGAGGGAGGGAGGACGGCCAGGGTGCTGATGCGGGCAAGGGTCCCGGCTAGGAAGGTAGCGCTCCTGAGGGAGGAGGACGTCGCCGATGGGGAGGTCGCACTTCCCGACGCTTCCCACTCCCCTCCCTCCTCCTCAGCTGCCACGTCGACGGCTTGAGCAAGCTTCCACAAGTCTGCCTGAATGGTAGTCTGGGCTGCTTCGGCTGAGGGAGGAGTGAAGCTGTCCTTGGTCGCTGTTGCTGTTGCTGCTGCCGGGGCAGCTTGCTGACTAGCACCCTTTAGCAAGCACGTCCGTCGCGCCTCCAACACCCGAAGGCGGGCTGCGATGGCCTCTGCGTCCATGCCACCCTCTGCTTGGGCGTACGCTGTGAATGAATTGATGGGAACATACAAGCAGCCCCTCGGACGATGAGCGGCGACAACAAGGGAACGGGTCATGGTTTAATTTCTCCTCATTTCTTAGCGAGAGGGGCGACGCTGGTGGGTTGTTGGCGAGGCGCTGCCAGTGATGGAAGCTTATGGGGGAGTTATGCACGACACTAGTATTGATTCAAACCAACGACGCATAAAGTTTACATATCCTGCCACTCTTTTTCGTATCTTTCGAAGTCTTTGGCACTTTTCATGTGGGTGTGCCCGAAACCATAACGCTTTTAACCTCCTCCCCCTCCTTCCTATACAGCCCGCTCTCCCTCCCTGCTTCTAGCCTTACACGCACGTTTTTCGGCGTCTGCGGGGGTTGCTGGCAATGTCATCCTTTCGAAATGACAAAAAATCGCTACCCGCAATTTTGGGTGACACCTACGTGTATTTTGACCTGAGCGTGGGTGGTGTCCCGGAGGGCCGCCTCGTCTTTCTCCTCTACAATCACGTGACGCCGCAAACGTGTGAAAACTTCCGGGCGCTTTGCACCGGGGAGAAAGGTTTATCCAAATTTTCAGGTAAGGCGGGGAAAAGGTCAAGAGGGCTTGGAGGATGAAAATAATGTTAGTGTGAGCATAAATTCGAGCATGCGGGTGTCGCGGTGTGTGGTCATGGAGGAGAAAGAGCAGAGCCCGAAGTCGATGTTCGAGACAACAAAAGGAGACACTATTCTTTCCCGAGTGGATTGACGGGGGAAAGTTGAATGGCTTTTGGAAACACATCCTCCTCCAGGGGGTCGGTGCGGGGATCTGTCCCCATCTCGGTATGTGACCAGGACCCTCATACCCCCGCCTCGCTCTTCCTCTCTTAGGAAAGAAGCTGCATTACAAGGGCTCTGTCTTCCATCGAATCATCCCGGGTTTCATGGCTCAGGGAGGGGACTATACAGCAGGGAACGGGACAGGGGGAGAGAGCGTTTACGGGTGGGCTGCGGTGGGGTCGGAGGGACAGGGAGATAAGAGGGAGGGCGAGAGGGAGGAAGGGGAGACGGAGGGCGGG